CTCGTGAGCTGCAGCAGCGTGGTCAGTTGCGTCTTGCGTACGTGGCCTCTGAGGCCAACACTGCTGATATCTTCACCAAGGCACTTGCGCCTTGTGATCATCAGCGCTTCTGTACTCAGCTTGGTCTTGTGCCTGTCTTGTCTCACTTGCTCACCTCTTGACCTTACTTGTACTGTTACATATATATACACCTGCTCTTGCTTGTCTAGCTTTCTATATATATGTACTCATGCATGTGAACTGGCCTTGTGGCCTTGAACTTGTGCTCGGAATGTGTGGTGACTTTGTGATCCACCCTGAGCTTGCTTTGCTTTGCTTTGCTTCACTGGTCTTGTGACCGCTTGTTCTCCCCCACTTTGCCTATGGGGGTGTGTCAGAACATTATAGCTTATGCTTTTGTGTAGGCTGTAGTGGGGTAGCCCATATGGGATACAACCCAATTAGGGTTAGTACTTGTACCCAACTGTTTCATAGTTCATTCATTCTCGTTCTCATTTTCTCAGAGAGGGTGAGAGGAGAGGAGATAGGAGGCGACGGATGAAGCTGCAGACACACGGGCAACAGGAGGCACACTGGCACAGCGGCTATCGGAACAACGCTCCGGAATACTGAAGTAACTGGCTCCGCGGCTAAAGTAGCGGCAGACGAGCAACGGACCCACGGGCGGCTGGCACACCTGGCTACGACTGGGCTACCGGAGCAACTCCCCGGACTACAGGTGCTGCTGGCGACACGACGGGAACCTCCATTCAGCTTCCCCAAACTATCCCACTCCCCCCCGGCACACACCTGCTGCTACACCGCTAGCTCCACTCCCCCTTCACCCCCCCTTAGTACCACTCCACCGGCTCCAACACGTCCACCCCCCCTCAGCGACAGCCTGCAGTACAGGGAGACGGAGGAGGAGGAGGAGCAGGGAACGGCACACAGTGAGGTCACCCCCATACCCCTCACCCCCAAACCCTAATTCAGGAGAATGGGGAGTAGGAGGGGTGGGGCGCCAGTAGAAGCACTGGGGGACAGCGGGGAGGGCAGGGCCAGCAAGGAACGGGCCCACCACGGGCCTGGTACAGACGCCCGAGCCGCGCGCAGGCGGCCCAAGTCGCTGCGCGGGCCTGGCGCCGTCCGTACGGGCCGCGCGCGGGCCTGGCGCCGCCCGTACGGGTCGCGCGCGGGTTTGGCGCAGCCCGTACGGGCCGCGCGCGGGCCTGGCGCAGCCCGTACGGGCCGCGCGCGGGCCTGGCGCAGCCCGTACGGGCCGCGCGCTGCCTGTACGGGCCGCGCGCAGGCCACGACGGGCAACGGAGGGCGACGCGCGGGTCCCCGTCGCCCGTCGCGGCGCCTCAAGAGGACGACGCGCCGAACGACGGGGCAGAAGCCCGCCGCGCGCCTCGGGGCGCACAGCAGGCAGAGAGCCGCCGCGCGCCTCGGGGCGCAAGGCGGGCAGAAAACCGCCGCGCGCCTCGGGGCGCATGGCGGGAAGAAAAACAGCCGCACGCCACGGGGCGTGCGGCACAGAGAGTAGCAGTAGTAGTTGCAGCGGAAGCAACGAGGTGGTAAGCCCACCCACAGGATCGATCCAAGGGGATCGACCTGCTCTGATAGCATGTTAAAGTTAGAAGAGAGAAGAGGGGTTGCACTAGCAAGAATGAGGATACAAATAGCAAACCCTAGAAGGGTTGTACTCGCTATAGAGCACCCCACTACAGGCTAGAGCATAAGATAACATTCTGACAGTGTCAGTCTAAACTGTCGCTGTACTGTTGGCTATGCCCCCGCTTCTAACTCTATTCGGTGGTCGTGTGCTTGCTGAGGTGGCAGTCCCTCCGATAAGTCGTCGGGAAAAATCTCCGGGTACCATTTCAATTGTTCCTATAGTTCGGGCAGTACCGCTGCCAACAGTTTCTTGAAATCGCTCGGTTGCTCTGCTTCTTCTACCACTGCAATGTCCATTGCATACACGTCAGCTCCAGCGGCGACAGCCCGTTTCATTGTGATGGCGTCGACGTGGACCGTTAAAGACTCAGGCGACTGCCAGCGAGGTAGTTCAACCTAGTTACCGCTACTTCGCACAGTGCAGCTGCCCGTTGTCCAGTCAATTCGCGGGTTATACCGTCGCAGCCAATCACGTCCCAGTAAAATGTCGTGCCCATCTAGTGTCGTCGCGAGCATTTCCTGTGTAAACCCGAAGTTCCTCCCGCACCGGACTTTTACTTTTTCCACCTTCTTCCGTATGGCCAGAGGCGTGCCGTCAACTAAGGTTGCATCTATCTCCGGTAAACACCAGCTAAGTGTCACCTGTAGTTTCAGTGCGGTATTAACTAAACTGTGACTTGCTCCTCCGTCGATAAAAATCTTCATTGCTGCTCCCTGTATTTTCCCGTGGATCAGTACTGTGACTTGGTGAGGGTCGGTGGGGTTGGGTGAGCAGGCCATCTCGTCAGTAGTTGGCCCGATTCCTACTGACTGCTAGCGTTTCCCTACCTTGGAGACTCCCTCTTCTGCTCTGCTCCCCGACGCCTCAGCTCCTCTGGGCACTCACTCTTGCAATGGCCTGGCCTATTGCAAGCAAAGCAGCGCCCCTTAAACGGCGCGGCAGCTGCACTTGTCGCAACAACATGTACAGTGGCATGCTCGATCGGTCCCCGAGGGCGATGTCCGTAGTAGGACACCGGTCTCGGACGGCGGAAAATGTCGATTTTCTCGGCGAGTGCGAGAATCTCGTTGAAATTCGAGAGTCCGCGTAGCATGATTTCGTGCGAGATGTCCGGCTTCAGCCCTCCGACATAGTAGTCCACCCGCTCCACTTCGTGCATGTAGCCGACTTACTCGAATAATGCGAGAAAACCGCTTGTGTATTCTTTGTCAAACTTATATGCTATAGTCTGTGTAGGCTGTAGTGGGGTAGACAATATGGGGTACAACACTTCTAGGTTTTCCTACTTGTACCCACCTGCTTGCTAGTTCATTCATTCCTCATTCTTCACATGGTATAGAGCAGGTTCCCTAGTGGGAACGCTTCCTTGGGCCCACCACTGGAAAAAAAAAATTCCTGACCGGAGCATCAGTTGCTCCTGCCCGAGGCGCGCCTTGTTCGCCGCCCTTCCAGGCCCCTAGTGGCCCCTTGCGGCCTCGTCGCCGCCCCTACGCGGCCCCGTCGCCGCCCCTAGCGGCCCCGTCGCCGCCCCTTGCGGCCCCGTCGCCGCCTCTCACCCTACGCGGCCCCGTCGCCGCCCCTACGCGGCCCCGTCGCCGCCTCTCACCCAACGCGGCCCCGTCGCCGCCCCTACGCGGCCTCGTCGCCGCCCCTAGCAGCCCCGTCGCCGCCCCTAGCGGCCCCGTCGCCGCCTCTCACCCTACGCGGCCCCGTCGCCGCCCCTATGCCGCCCCGTTTCTGCCCCTATGCGGCCCTGTCGCCGCCCCTACGCGGCCCTTTCGCCGCCCCTACACAGCCCCGTCGCCGCCCCTAGCGGCCCCGTCGCCGCTCCCCTTCCTACGCGGCCCCGTCGCCGCCACCACACGGCCCCGTCGCCGCCTCTACGCGACCCCTTAGTCGCCCCTAGCGACCCTGTCGCCGCTCCCCTCCCTACGCGGCCCCGTCGCCGCCCCTAGCGGCCCCGCTGCCGCCTCTACCGAGCAGCCCATCAGCTGAGCCGCACAACAGCAGAGCCGCGGAGCCGCCCAGCAACCGAGCCGCCGAGCCGCCGAGCCGCCTTGCAACCGAGCCGCCGAGCTGCCCGGCAGCCGAGCAGCCCACAACCGAGCAGCCGAGCCGCCTGACAGCCGAGCCGCCCGACAGCCGAGCCGCCCAACAGCCGAGCCGCCGAGCCGCCGAGTCGCCCAGCAGCCGAGCCGCCGAGCCGCCCTGCCATCGCGACGCTACTGTTCCTACCGGCGCGCCCCGGCCCTACTTACTCGGACTGGTGAGATCACTCCCTGTTAGGCCACTACAGTCATGGCTACCCCCAGTGTTCTCACCTTTGATACTGAGGGTCGTGCTGTTGACTTTGAGGTCTGGGTCGATGACCTCCAGCTGTTCCTACAGTACGATAGGGCAGACGGACTCTCAGACGTAGTCCTACTACGGTGCTCCCAAGCTCAGATTCACTCCTCCCGAGCTCACATCTCCTCCTCCCGAGCTCCGATCTACTCCTCCCCAGCTCAGATCTACTCCTCCCGAGCTCAGATCTACTCCTCCCCAGCTCAGATCTACTCCTCCCGAGCTCAGATTTACTCCTCCCGAGCTCAGATCTACTCCTCCCCAGCTCAGATATACTCCTCCCGAGCTCAGATCTACTCCTCCTGAGCTCAGATCTACTCCTCAACAGCTCAGATCTACTCCTCCCGAGCTCAGATCTACTCCTCCCGAGCTCACATCTCCTCCTCCCGAGCTCAGATCTACTCCTCCCCAGCTCAGATCTACTCCTCCCGAGCTCAGATCTACTCCTCCCCAGCTCAGATCTACTCCTCCCGAGCTCAGATCTACTCCTCCCCAGCTCAGATCTACTCCTCCCGAGCTCAGATCTACTCCTCAACAGCTCAGATCTACTCCTCCCGAGCTCAGATCTACTCCTCCCGAGCTCAGATCTACTCCTCCCGAGCTCCCATCTCCTCCTCCCGAGCTCAGAATTGCTCCTCCCGAGTTCAGATCTACTCCTCCCCAGCTCAGATCTACTCCTCCTGAGCTCAGATCTACTCCTCCCGAGCTCAGATCTACTCCTCCCGAGCTCCCATCTCCTCCTCCCGAGCTCATAATTACTCCTCCCGAGCTCAGATCTACTCCTCCCCAGCTCAGATCTACTCCTCCCCAGCTCAGATCTACTCCTCCCGAGCTCAGATCTACTCCTCCCGAGCTCACACCTCCTCCTCCCGAGCTCAGATATACTCCTCCCGCGCCCTGCTCTACTCCTCCTGCCCTCAGATCTGCGCATTTCGCACTCAGATCTGCACATTCCGCACTCAGATCTACTCTCCCGCGCCCAAATCTGCATTCCGCATGCTCAGATCTGCAACTCGCACGCCCTTGCTAGTCCGACCGCGCGCCCTGGTCGTCCGCGCTCTGCTCGTCCGCCCTTCGCGTCCCCGCCCTGCCCGTCCGCACGCCCTGCTCGTCCGCGCCTTGCCCGTCCGCACGCCCTGCTCATCCGCCCTTCGCGTCCGCGCCCTGCCTGTCCGCGCGCCCCAGTCATCCGCACCCTGGCCGTCCGCGCGCCCTGTTCGTCTGCACGCCCTGCTCGTCCGCGCTCCGGTCGTCCACACTCTCCCCGTCCGCGCACTCGTTGCACGCCCCCCTTCCCCGCTCGCTGTCCCCCTCCCCTCGTCCGCCCCCTGCCCACCTCCCTGGCATACAACACATCTGCACGCGCATACAGCACATCTGACAGCACATACCGCACACCTGACAGCACATACCGCACACCTGACAGCACATACCGCACACCTGACAGCACATACCGCACACCTGACAGCACATACCGCACACCTGGGAGCACATACAGCACACCCGCCTACGCATACCGTCAGCTCCCTGCGCACACCTTCATGCCCTGCTCGCCTGCGCCATGCCGTGACCGCCCACACCCCACATTGCTTCCCCCATGGCAACAGTCGCGCTGGCATGCATCAGCAGTGGTGCCGGTGGGCATGGAAGAGGGCATAGTGGCAGCTGTGGTGGTGGTCAAGGGAGACTCGCAGGATATTGTGGTGTCAGGGGTTTGAGCGCAGGCTGCGGCGCAGCAGCAGCCTTCTCTCCTCGTGAATATGTGCCTCGCTATGGCCCGACTCGAGGACTTCAGTGTAAACTCTCCACCCAAGCCCACCATGCCCCGAGTCAACCCTTCTCTCTACCTCAGCCTCCTCCTCCTCCTCCTCCTCCTCCTCCTCCTCCTCCTCCTCCTCCTCCTCCTCCTCCTCCTCCTCCTCCTCCTCCTCCGCAACAACAGCAGCAGCAGCAGCAGCAACCGCAGCAACAGCAGCACCAGCAGCAGCTCTGGCACCTCCTCCTCCAGCTCGAGCAGTTGCTCCACCGCCTGCAGCAGCACCTTGACCTACAGCCGCAGCTGCCTCTTCCTCCTCCTCCCCCAACTTCCCAGCAGAACTCAGTTCCGCATTGTTCCACAAGCTCCGCCACTTCAAGCATCGTCCCACCTTTCTCATCCGTTGGTATCGCTGGTATGGTCAATCAAGCCACATCAACTGCACCTGCCACATACTCCTCTAGCACTAACAAAACTGCGTTCCAGTCCTCTGTCCCTTCCTCCTCCCTCTCCTCCACTGTCGATTTTGTCCTCGACAGCGGCGCCACTGACACAGTTCTTCGCGATGCTGGCACCTTGCGCCCCCTCCCAACGCCTACCTCCCTCCTTGGTGCCGACAGCAGCTTCTCTATCCCCTGCCATAACACCTCGACTCTCCCCTGCCCACTCTTCCCCTCAGGCACTGTCACCGGTCTCCACATACCCTCTCTTCGCACTAATCTCCTTTCGCAAAGGTCCCTTCAGCAAGCCGGTATCACCACAGTATTCCCAGCTCATGCTAACTATTGCGCTCTCTACCATTCCGCCACCGGTCAGTTCCTTTCTCGCATTCCCTTTTGCCCTCGCTCCCGTCTGTACACCCTTCGGGTTCCTCGCCTCCCCTCCTGTCAGGTCATCTCTCGTCCCCCCCTCCACCCTCTCATCCCACCTCCTCCTCTCCCTACCACTAACCCGGACCTCCCTTCCCGCCCCCCCCCTTGACTCCTCTTGCTCCTGTCGCTCCCTCTCCCACCCTGTCGTCCTCCTCCATCACAGGCTAGGTCACCCTAACTTCGCTACTCTACGCTCCTCTGTTTCCACCGGTCTCCTCCACGGTCTCCCCTCCTCCCTCCCTCCCCTCCCCAAATCCCCTGCCCCCCCCCTGCACCGTCTGCGTTCAGAGCAAGCTCAAGCAGCAGCCGCACCGGAGCTCCCCCTCCACTGCTGCGCAGCCACTTGATCTTGTTCACATGGACCTCTGGGGCCCCAATCCCTCTCCCACTCGCCAGGGCCATCGATACCTCCTCGTACTCGTTGATGATCACACTCGGTACTCGTCCGTCTCTCTCCTTCGGACGAAGGCAGATGCCCCAGCTGCGATCATCGCCTGGCTCGAGCGGGCAAATACCCATTTTGGGCGCCCTGTTCGCCGCCTTCACTCTGATGGTGGTGGTGAGTTCCTTAACAACCAAATATCCTCCTACTGTCAGTCTCATGGCATTCTTCAGACTTACACCCTCCCTCACTCCCCACAGCAGAACGGTGTGGCTGAAAGTCGTGTTCGAGAGATCACCAAAACTGCCCGGTGTCTTCTTGTCCACGCCTCCTGCCCTCCTTCTCTATGGGGCTACGCCCTCCTTCATGCCGCCCTCCTTACTAACCTTTACCCTCACCCTCTTCTCCCATCCACCACCCCCATTGAGCTGTGGACGAACAACAAACCTGATGTCTCGTCTCTTCGTGTCTGGGGCTCAAAGGCTTATGTTCTCCTTCACCCCACTGACCGCTCCCACTCTATGGGAAAGCTTGCCCCTCGTACCCTTCCCTGCATCTTTCTCGGTCATAACTCCTCCTCACCTGACTACCATATCCTCCATCCCCCCTCAGGTTGTCTATTCCGCAGTAGGGATGTGGTCTTTGATGAGTCCACTCCCTACTACTCCTCTCCCCCATCCACTAACCCACTCCCCCGTCTTCCCCGTCCCCTTGTCTGGTCTGACACCACCCCTCCCCCACTACTTCCTCCTCCCCCCATCCTCCCTCCCCCCCCCCCCACCGTCGTCCCCATCCCACGGTGCCCCTCCCTCGTCTGGTGATATATTTGACCCGGAACCTCTGTCCTCTCCCGTCTCCCCCACACATTCCTCTCCTAGTGCCCCTCCCGCCCCTCCTTCACCTCCCTCGCCGCCGACTCGTCCTTCCCCCCCTCCCTGCACCGTACGTACCAGGTTCCCCCATACCAGGTCACGTGACAGTATCCTTGGTGCACCGCCCCCTGTTACCCTCTCTACCTCTACCCTCCCCCCACTCTCCCCTCTCCTTCACCACTTCTTCCAGGCTGTTCTGCATCAACCTCCTCCTGCAGCATGAGAAGAAACGAGAATGAATAAACTATGAATGAACTGAGTACAAGTACTAACCCTAATTGGGTTGTACCCCTTATGGGCTACCCCACTATAGCCTACACAATAAGCACAAGCTATATGTTCTGACACACCCCCATAGGCAAAGTGGGGGAGAACAAGGGGTCACAAGACCAGTCAAGCAAAGCAAAGCAAAGCAAGCTCACGGTGGATCACAAAGTCACCACACATTCTGAGCACAAGTTCAAGGCCACAAGGCCAGTTCACATGCAGGAGTACATATATATAAAGGACTAGACAAGCAGGAGCAGGTGTATATATATGCAACAGTACAAGCAAGGTCAAGAGGTGAGTAAGTGAGGAAAGACAGGCACAAGACCCAGCTGCGTGCAGAAGCGCTGATGATCACAAGGCGCAAGTGCCTTGGTGAAGACATCAGCAGTGTTGGCCTCAGAGGCCACGTACGCAAGCCGCAACTGACCACGCTGCTGAAGCTCACGAGCAAGGAAGTAGCAAAGAGCAATGTGCTTTGTTCTGTGCTCCAGTCTCTGCTCTCGACACAAGGCCAGCATGGCCTTGTTGTCTACGTACAGGACTGGAGGAGAACGAGGCGACTCTCCAAGGTCGGTCAGCAGGTAGGTGAGCCAGCGAAGCTCCTGTGCAGCCATGGCCCCGGCGTAGATCTCAACCCCACAACTGGAGCCGAGAACAGAAGACGAGCGAGTAGCCCGCCACGAAACAGAGCCGGAACCAAGGCTGAACGTGTAACCCTCTGACGACCGCTGCGTAGCCTGGTCGTCAGCCCAAGAAGCGTCCGCGTGCCCAGTGAGGACCACTGGACTCCGCCCTCCAAGCACTAGCCCCATGCCCGACGTACTGCACAAGTAGCGCAACACCCTCTTCGCTGCAGCCATGTGCTCTGGTTGGTGTCTCCCATGAGCAACATAGCGTGCGAGAATGCTAAGAGGGTATGCAAGGTCAGGTCGTGTGCAGGTCATCAGGTACATGAGGCAGCCAACAAGCTCTGGATACGGGCCAATCGACTCTACGGACTCATCTGAAGGCAGAGCTGAGAGCGAGTGGCGAGTAGGCAGAGGAGTGGCCTGTGGCGAGCAGTACGTGAAGCCGAAGCGCTGAAGGACCTGTTGCACCATGTGTGACTGAGTCAGGGTAATGGTGCGGCGTGCTCTGTCCCGGGTGATCTGCAAGCCAAGGTAGCTGCGCAGTTCACCCTGGTCTGTGCACGTGTGTCTCTGCTGCAGCTCGGACTTCACGTAGGCGAGTCCAGCAGTGTCAGCAGTGGCAAAGACCAAGTCGTCGACGTACACGAGGATGTAGAACGGCGGCAGAGAAGTGTCGGTGCGCAGAAACAGCGACGTGGTCGGCAGTAGAAGGAGCAAACCCAAGAGCCGCAAGCGTAGTCCTCTGTGTGTCGTGCCACTCACGTGGCGCCTAGCGGAGACCGTAGACTGGACGCCAGAGACTCCACTGGGTACCAGGAGGGAAAGACCCAGTGAAGCCAGGTGGACGGCGCAGCCAGATCTCCTCGTGCAGGCTGCCCTGCAGGAAAGCTGTGCTGAAGTCGAGAGAGTGCAGCTCGTAGTCACGGTGAGCAGCAACGTGCAGCAGTACCCGAAGAGTGGTCATCTTCGGGGTGGGAGAGAAGGTCTGAAAGTAGTCAACTCCCTGCCGCTGACTGAAGCCACGAGCCACGTAACGCGCCTTGAAGACAGGCGGAGAACCCGGCGGCCGCTTCACCCTAAAGATCCATATGCAACTGACAATGTTCGCCCCAGGAGGGGGGACAGCGTCAACGTAGGTGCCTGTGGACTTCCAGGAAGCCATCTCTACATCCATAGCTGCCTGCCACTGAGAGGAGTAGGGACCCTCTATCGCCTCCGTGAAAGAGCGCGGAGTCGGGATGTCAAGTGCATCCGGGTCTCCCTCAGGGGTAAGCAGTACGGACACGAGATGAGGTGAAGCAGCTGCGAAGCACTGGAACTCCTCCTGCCTGTCCTCAAGGACGTCCGTGCCAAGGGCACACTCACCCCCGACGGACGGAGGACAGACAGACTCAGACTCAGCGACAAGACTAGCAGCGTAGTCTAGGCGACAGCGAGCAGCAAAGTCGACGAGCTCAGCAACTAGGGCAGACGCAGCAGCGGACTCGAAAGAAGGATTAGTGACGACAGTAGCCAGGAGAGGCGTGACAGTAGGACTGGCAGCACGAAGAGAGTCCGACTCCGGGTCGGCAAAAGCAGGAAGAGAGGACTCAGGAGGAGAAGGCAAATGGGCACGCAAAGGAGCAGTGGACGGACACAGAGACATCCTGTGCGTGCTAGGGACAAGGAGGAGGACGCTGACGCGAACCACGACCACCAGCGCGAGCAGCGCGGACAGGCGACGCAGGGCGAGACGCAGGCTCACGACGCTCCGTAAGACCTCCAGTAGGACCAGTGTAGGGAGAAGGAGCAGGCAAAGGGGAGGTAGGCTGCAACTGTAACTGTGACGGGACTGGCTGTGGACACTCTAAAGAAAGAGGAGGACCAGTTGAAGGCGGAAGACCAAGAACCTGCTGCAGGAGTGGAACGAAGTACGGTCGAGGCCGCGCGGCGACGCCAGACATAGGAGGTACAGCACCAGTACCCCCAGCAGGAGCACCCACTCCAGCTGCACCTCTAGCACTACCAGGAGTACCCGCAGCAGGACCGCCAGCAGTAGTCTCAGCTCCAACACCCTCAGCAGCACCAGCTCCAGTCGAACCCGCAGGCCCAGTTGCTCCAGTACTCCCAGCACGAGCACCTCCGGGACCCGCGACAGCAACACCCTCAGTAGACGAAAGAAACTCTAGCACCAGCAGCACGCCTCCAGCGCCGGGCAAACCACTCGCGCAGCTCCCGTGGAGAGAGTGGCTCCCGTAGAGACGAAGCACCCGGAGAACCTCGTGGCGAAGCACCTCCAAGCTCAGAACCCCCAGGCTCAGCACAACCAGGCTCAGCACCCCCAGGCTCACCACCCCCAGGCTTCAGCACCCCCACGCGCAGCACCTCCAAGCTCA